AAAACCAAAGACAAAGAAAGAATCATGAGAGCAGCATGGAAAAAACAAAGTTACCTACAAGGGACAACCAATAAGACTAAGCTCAGATTCCTCAACAGAAACCATGCAGGTGAGAAGACAATGGGATGGCATATATAAAGCATTGAAAGAGCAAAATTTCCAACCAAGAATTATGTACCCAGCAAAATCCTCCCTCAAATATGATGGTGAAATTAGGACATTTCCAGATGTGGTGTAATTACCTGGTATGGCTTTTCTAGCCATAAGTCTTTGTAAACTCCATGGTGGAATTTGCTGTGAGCAAGTGAGGAACTCCTGATTGTAAAAGTTATCCACTTGGGGTATTTCTCTTGGGCATGGTACAAAGCAATGTTCTGGGAAGTTCGCTCTCTCTCAGGTGCTTAGAATTCTGATGTTATGACTGGCTAGTTTGGCCACTCTGCCAGGCTCAAAAGGAAGCCTCCTAAAGGCAGAAGTCTCTCTCTCTGCTGGCTGAGAAGAACGTGCTGCTGAGAGAAATGCGCTGCTGAGAGAAATGACCTGCTGAGAGAAACATGCTGCTGAGAGACTCGCGCTCCTGAGAGACGTGCACTGCTGGGACAGAGATGCAAGAGACATGCATTGCTGAGAGAGACACCAAGGGACACATACTGCTGGGAGAGAGACTGTGAGAGACTATTGGCTGAGAGACGGCAGGCTCTGAGAGACTGAGCATTTTTCTGAACTTGAACTGTAGCCTGATGCTTCCCTAATAAACCCCATAATCTGTGAGTTCTGTGTGGCCACTGCAGTGAATTATCAAATCCAGCAGAAAGGTGGTGAGTGCTGCGAGAGGAACCGCTGGTGTCAGGGTTGGTGAAAGGGCTGGAGGGAGGCAGCATGTCTGGCTTTGCAGGAATAGGCCTTGGGCTACTGATGGTGATTCTGTCTTCCTCTTGTGCAGTTAGAGGAGGTCAGGAGATGTGGCCTCCTTGCCCCTACAACACCAAATAATCAGAAACTAAGGGAATTTGTTAAAACCAGACCAATCATACAAGAGATGCTAAAAGGTGCCCTTTGGACAGAGAAGCAACAACAGCCAACAACTGACCATTAACACACATGATGACATAACCCAGAAACCAACCCAGCTATGGAAGTATCCAAAGTAAATAAGCCTACAAAATTGTAAACAGGGAACCTGAGATATCAATTGACAAATGAGGACAACTGCAAACCAAAAAGAGGGAAAAAAAACTGTGTCATTACAGAACTTCTAGATGGTAGGGAAGTCAGGACAACAAGATAGAATGGACTATTCTAAACTTGAGAAGAAAATACAGGGTAACCTGTATTGATAAACCTTCACATCAAAAAAGAGGACCAGCATAAATATTCAGCAAATACTAAAACAATAGCAATGAAGGAAACAATAATGCGATTCATAAACAAAGCAAGCTCAGCATAGAAAATGATATGGAACAAAGAAATCAACACCACAAAAAAGCACGTAAAAATGACAGCAACAAATTCATATTTGCCAATAATTATATATCTGGCAAGGGACTTATCTCTAAGATTTATAGCATGCGGTGTAGTAAATTACTTAGTGTGGCTTTTCTACCCATAAGTCTTTGTAAACTCCAAGGTGGGATTTGCTATGAGCAACTGAGGCGCTCCTGATTGCTAAAGTTGTCCACCTGGAGTATTTCTGTTGCGCATGACACAAGTCATGTTCTGGGAAGTTTGCTCTCTCTCTCAGGTGCTTAGAACTCTGATGTTATGACTGGTTAGTTTGGCCACTCTACCAGGCTCAAAAGGAGGCCTCCTGGAGGCAGAACTTTCTCTCTGACTGCTGGCTGAGGAAGGATGTGCCCCTGAGAGACAAGTGCTGCTGGGAAAGAGACACAAGAGACATGCATTGCTGAGAGAGACACCGAGGGACACGCACTGCTGGGAGAGAGACTATGAGAGACAGCGGGCTGGGAGAGAGACTGAGCATTTTTCCTGAACTTGAATTGTAGCCTGGTGCTTCCCTAATAAATCCCGTGACCTGAGTTTTGTGTGGCCACTGCAGTGAATTATCGAACCCAGGAGAGAGTATTGCTTGAACAATTTCTCTCAGAAAGATTAGCACAAGGCCAGTCCCCATAAGGTGGAGGTTAAAGATGTCCCAAATGTCTAAACTACCATACCACTCTATCATTTCAGACATTAACTCCTCCTCCTCCTCCCAGTAATTTCCCCAGTCTTAGGATTCTGTATTTCGCTATAACACCTCACAGAACTCACAGACACCCAAGGGTTCGTCTCACGTAGTAGTGATGGAGGCTGGCAGGCTGATGAGTCCCAGGTCCGTGAGTAGGTCTGAAGGATCCTCCCAGTTCTCGGGGTGTAATGAACCTCGATCAGCAGATCAGATGACAGCTGCTGTCCCAAATCCAGGGGTGAGATGAGGAAGAGCCAAGACACAAAACCAGGGCAAGAGGAGGGCAAATCCAGGAGATTCGTAGGTATACCCTCAAGGAAGCTAAGGGTGGTGATTTGAATTATATCTTCCAGCAAGGCAGGACTCAAGATGCATTCCACCTGTGTTGCCCCAACAGAAATAACCTAAATCCCATCACAGAGTCATCACAATGCTATAAAATTAGAAAGCAACAATAGGAAGATCAAGGAAGAAAAAGCAAACACATGGGAACTGAGTAACACTCTCCTTAAAAACCACTAGGTAACAGAAGAAATAAAAGATGAAAAGATTCCTTGACTCTAACAAGAAAGAAAGCACAAATACCAAAATCTTTGGGACACAGCAAAAGCAATGATCAGAAGGCAATTTATAGCAATAAATGCACACGGCAAAAGAGAGGAGCTAAAATCAACTTTAACACCCAGTTAGAAAAAGAGCAGCAAAAAATAAATAAAAGCCTACAATTACCAAAAGATAAGAAATAAAGAAGATTTGAGCAGAAATAAAAGAAACAAACAAACAAAAAAAAAAAAACTGAAAGAATCAACAAGACTAGAAATTGGTTCTATAAATGATTTATAAAATTAACAGATCACTGGCAAATTTAACAAAGGAAATGATGCAAATAACACAAATCTGTCTTGGACAAAGTATAGCCGGAATGCTCCTTAGAAGCAAGAATGGCCAGACTTTGCCTCTAGTATTTTGGTCACATCGACGGCAGGAGGGACCAGTCCCTGAAGAAAGATATCATGCTTCCTCAAGTAGAGGTTCAGGGAAAAAGGGGAAGACCCTCAACGAGATGGATTGACAGTGGCTCCAACAATGGTCTCAAGCATGTCAATGATTGTGAGCATAGCACAGGATGAGGCAGTTATTTCCTTCTGTTGTACACAGGGTCACCATGTCACACAAGTGACTGGAGAGCACCAAGCAACAACCACGCCATCTTTAATTAGCCAGTTTCTGCTTGTAGACAAAATGGTTGTTTTTAGTGTTTTTACTATTATATTGTCATTCATTCAAACATTTTGACTGCTTTTGAGTGGCTATTTTAGTTTTATCCACCATTCTTCCCTTCCTGTTAGGCGCCTGTTGACAATTTTGAACTGAGAAACTGCTCAGTATATGTAAGCTTGGGTTAATTGGTTGTCTTTTCTGAGTGTAGCTCTAAAAGGAATACCACAAGTGGGTGGCTTTGCTCAACAGAAACTTATTTTCTATTTTAGAAGCTTCTTGCTGTTGTTATGTTTCCTCAAGTCAGACCCGACTCACAGCGACCCCTCCTTGGGTTTCTGAGGCGGTATCACTACGGAAGTAGATTGCCCAACCTTCCTTCCAAGGAGTGGCTGGTGGGTTTGAACCGCCAGCCTTCTGGTTAGCAGTCAAGTGCCATAGGCACCATGCCACCAGTGCTCCCGTTTTAGAGGCTACAAGTCTGAATTCAGAACACCAGCTCTAGAGGGAGACTGTGCACTCTGGGGGAAAATCCTTGTCAAAGAGGTAAAAGCTTGTACATGACAGTCCAGTGTCACAGAACTGGACTTTGGTCTTTGGACTCCCAACGGCTTGCTTTGTGACCTCTGGGTACGGTTACAGATTCTTTTGGTCACATTTAGAAAATGGGCATCAAAATCGTAGGTGTGGTTGTGTGTGCCCACGTTCCACTCATCAGGCCTTCATCTTTGCGTTTCCTTGTCCAGAAGGCTGCACAATTATTTTTTGAAAGAACAGACGAGCCAGGCTAAGGGCCTGAGAAAGCATAACTTGCCCAAGGTCACAGAGCTGGCAAATTAAAAGAATTCAATCTCATTTTTCCACGCCAAAGCCCCTCCCACTCCCCACCCCCGCCTGCTCTTTTCCCGCCCTGGGAATCTTCTGAGGGCGGAAGGCTTGTTCCGGGAAACGCGCAAAAGCGACTCTGACCAAAATCCTGGTGGAGATACAAAACCAAACCAAACTCACTCTTAATGCCAGCAAACAAGCCTGACTGGCATCTCACAGGAGAATGACCCACTGGCTCCGTCGGTGGTATTTCGACGCCTCCCGCTAGGGGATTTTTGAGGGCCTTTATCTCCCGAGGGCTTACCGCTCCGGGTGAGGTGCCCCAGAGCTCCGGCGACGGCTTCCCGCCTCCTGCGGGTCTCCAGAATTCTAACAGAGCCGCGCCCCGGGGCGGGGCCTGGCCAGAGCGGCGTGCTATTGGCCGCGTTTGTTCGGGGGTGGGCCCTGGCCAGAACCGGGGACGGGTCTGGACGCAGGCAGCGTGTGATTGGCCGTGCGGGCTCGGGGGCGGGCCCGGGGCCGGCCGCCGGCGGGCGCCGACTATGAGCCTCCATAAAAGGAAGCGGCGGGGGGCTGGGGCCCCGGATTGAGCTCTCCCCGCCCGGGGTCCCGACGCGCCGCGGTCTCAGGGAGGCCTGGACGTGCCCGCCGCAGGCCGGGCCGCCGAGCGACCGCGGCGCGGAGGGGGCCGCACGGGCGGGAGGCGGCGGCGCGGAGGCCTCCGCGCCTTCCTACGGCGTCCGGTCACCGCGCTCCCGGCCACACCATGGCCCTCAAGGCCGAGGGCGCCGCGCTCGACTGTTTTGAGGTGACGCTCAAGTGTGAGGAAGGGGAGGACGAGGCGGAAGCCACAGTGGTAGCCGTAATTCCGCGACCCGAGCCCATGCTCAGAGGTGAGGAAGGGAGGGGACCCCACTTCCGCGTCAGGGGCCAGGGCCCGGGCGCCCTCTTGCTCCGCCTCCACCAGCGTTTGGAATCTCCGGCCTCCCCGAATCCTCCCTGCCCCCACCCCCGACAGTGTCTGAATCTTCGTTCTCACTTCTGGGCGCTCGGGATCTCCTGGCGCCCCCTCGCCCGGGCCCAGCACGGGAGACAGGATCCCCGGCGGCCTTGGGTGTCGGCGGCAGGCAGGAGGCTATGCAGTGTGTTGTGGGCTGAGGGGCCGCAAGGCCTCCAGGCCCAGGCTGGGTGCGGCAGCCAGGTGTTCAGAGGATGGAGGCAGGAGCCACAGCCGTCCCTCGAAGAGGAGAATTCAGGGCCCTGAATGTATAAAGCTCTCCTGGCGCCCCCGACTTCCTGTCCCCAGGCCTTCTGCTGGCAGAAGCCACAGGTGTCAGAGTCTAGTGCGTCGAGGGTGAATTGGACTGCTCACAGCACCCGCTAAAAGAATAGAGGTACTTGCCAGGGGGCCCTCAGCCACCCCACGAGGAGATTGGCCTTCGGAGAGATTTGAGGAACGATCTGGAAAAGACTCGCTTTCCCCTCCCCCATCACCATTTCCTTTAGTCTCTAAGATTTTGAAAACCATAAAAAAACAAAGGGCCGCCTGTGTGGAAACTTAATATTCATGGAAATGTGAATATCTTTATAGTCTACTGTATGCTTCCTTTAAGGTGTACAATACCCAAAAAAGGTTGGGAGCCAGGCCTTGACAATGGGAGAGGAGAGGGAACAGGGTCATGCATTCCTTTTAAGCCCAGCTGAACATGATGGTGTCTACTATGACCAGTGTGCCGTTTTCTGCTTTTTGGAATCTGGAGGTTATACAATAAGAGAAGTAAAGGCCTCCTCAGAGCTCTCAGCTCAACAGAAAGGTTAGTTCCTCACATCTTAATATTTGAGGCTCACATACCAGGCTCTTGGAGGCTGTCTTAGTTAATCCTCTGAACAGCCCTGCAAGAGAGCCCCTGTCCTCACTGACAAATGAAGAAGTAGACGTCCAGAAAGATTAACTCATTCAACCCATATTAGGCACCTACTGTATGCCAGCAGTCCCTGAACCCACCCAGAGGGGCCTCAGAAGGCCTGGCAGTATGCTTCTGAAAGGTCACAGCCGTGTAGTCTGCTGTGCACACTGGGGTTGCCCGGAGTTGAAATCATTTCCACAGCAATGTATTTGGTTCTTTCTGTTGCTATCTGCCTGACTGTTTTAGGCTGGAGGTTCTTTTGTTAGATGCCATCAAGTTGGTTCTAACTCATCGTGACCCCTCATGTAACAGGATGAAACATTCCTTGGTCCGGCACATCCTCTCACGGTCATTGCTGTGCTTGAACCTATTGTAGCCACCGTGTCATTCCATCTCGTTGAGGGTCTTTCTCTTCTTCACTCACCCTCTACCAAACCTGATATCCTTCTCCAGGGAATGGTCCCTCTTTGATAACATGACCAAAGTACAAGAGGTGAAGTCTTGCCATCCTTGCTTCTAGGGAGCATTCTGGCTGTACTTCTTCTAGGACAGATTTGTGTTGTTCTTGTGGCAGTCCGTGGTATATTCAGCATTCATTGCCAATACCATAATTCAAAGGCATCAGTTCTTGGGTCTTCTTGTTCATTGTCCAGCTTTCACATGCATATGAGGTGGTTGAAAATACTATGTCCTGGAGCAGTAAACAAAGCAGACAAAACCCTGCCCTTGTGGAATGTGTATACTAATGGTCAAACCAAAAACAGATGAGTAGAATATATAGCAGCTGAGGTGAAGACAGGTGGTTTGGAGAACACTACGACAGGGTAGTGGAGGGTCAATGAAAAGAGGAAGGCCCTCAATGAGATGGATTGACACAGTGGCTGCAGCGATGGGCTCAGGTATAGCAAGGATTGTGACACTGGCACAGGACTGGGCAGTATTTCATTTCGTTGTACATAGGGTAGCCGTGCATTGGAGCCGACTCTAGGCACCTAACAACAGCAACAAGAAGGGAGGGTAAGGAGAAAACCAGAAACACGGAAGTAGATTTCCATGTCTTCCTTCCGTGGAGCTGCTGGTGGGTTTGAACCTCCAACCCTCTGGTTAGCGGTCAGATGTCTTAGGTACTGAACCATCAGAACTCTTTAAGAAGAAAAGAGGTATTTTATTGGTTATATTGAGTGGTCAGAGGAGGCTTTTCTGATAAGGTAATGTTTGAGTACAGACCTTGGAGTTTGACCATTAACCTAGTAGCTCACAGAGGAAGAGCACTTCAAGTAGGGTGAACAGCATGTCAGAGGTCCTAGAGCAGAATCTCCTTGAAAGATTTGGGGGTGTCAGAGGAAGAGTGAGTTCAAGGTTTTGGGCCTGAGCAATTAGAAGGATAGGCCTCCTGTTTACTGAGATGGGGGAGGCTGGGGAAATAAGGTTTGAATATGTAAGTGTGAGATGCCAATTGTACATCCACATGTAGATATCTGGTGGGCAGTAGATACAGAACCTGGATTTCATGGGAGAAAGTGGCTGGAAGTACACATAAGGGGAGATGTCAACAGACAAGAGATAAGAGACCATTAGAGGAAGGACGTAGACAGGTAAGTAGACCAAGGACCTAGTCCTGGAAGACTGATGATTGTGGTTGAAGATGGAGTCATTCCCTCATGTAATATTACTGAGTGCCGCTGCTCACCAGGCACTGTTCTAGGTGCTGGGGGGTTCCAAAATCCATGTGGTCATGGAGCTTGCAGTGCAGTGAGCAGACACACCATAGAAAAATGTACATTTATCCTGTCAGGTGAAGCCACAAAAGGGGATGGGTTTCAGGTGTCAGGTGGAGGGAAATGACAGCTTTCTACAGGGCGACAGAAGGCCTCAGTGACAAGCTGGTTCTCCAGCAACAACCTGGAGGAAGCGAGGGAGCCTTGTGAATATCTGGGAAGAGATGAGGAAGATGAGTGAGTCATGGCAAAGGTGACTAATACAGTACCAGTGAAGTAAGAGAAGAACCAGGGGAAGGTGGTACTCTGGAAGATGAGTGAAGAAAGTCAAGATGGAAGAAATGATAGGTCAGATGATGTTTAAGAACTGACTCCTGGGATTAGTGTTGGTGACCTTGATGAGAGCTGTTTGGAAGGAGTGCTGGGGACAGAAGCCTGATTAGGAGGTCAGACTTCCTGTCCGCAGTCACAGTAAATAGATGGAATTCAGGTTTGGACCTTAATCTTCTGATGCCAGGCTAATGGTCCCATTTATATCATATGCCACCTCTTCCATGCAGCTTCCCAGGCCCTCCCAATGGGGAGGGAATCTTGCTTCCAGGTGCTAGTGCCCCCCGTGCTTGTATTTATTTGGTCTCATCCTGTTGGGTAGGAGTTTTCTATTGCAGCCATAAGGAATCATGGGCTTGGCAGAAGCATTGAGCTACCAGCTGCACATGGGGCTATGCCACCTCCTTGGATAAGCTGGACGGATCCCTGCTTTGGAGGAGCTTAAGATTCATGTGCACAAAGATCAGGGCCCAGACCAACCAACCCATGGAGGCAGTCCCACAGCTGTGGGAGGGAGGCTAGCACTGACAAGATGAGATGGCTTTAAGAAGAACCTAAACAAGTGCGGCTTGTGAACAGGCGAGCACGTCATTGCCTGACTGAAAGGTCACTGAACATCTCTCTGAGGTGCCAGGCCTGTAGGGATGATGATGATGATGTTAGTTGCTATCAAGTCAGCGCTGACTCATAGTGACCCTGTGTACAACAGATCGAAACACTGCTCAGTTCTGCCCCATCCTGTGGAGATGATAAGATGGTTAGATTTACCTTCCTTGCCTTTGAGAAAACGTACACTATGGCCTGGAGGTCAGCCTTGGAGGCAGTCCAGCAGCAGGGGTGGGAGGTCTGAAGGGCTTCACAGGGACAACCCAAGAAGGGCAGTGAGGGAGATTGAGGAAAACTTACAGAGGCGTCTGCACAGGTGTGTGAAGGCTGAAGACATGCAAGGACATAAAACCCACTGCTGTCAAGTCAATTCCAACTCATAGCAACCCTGTAAGACATGGTAGAAAGGCCCCACAGGGTGTCCTGCAGAGTGACTGGTGAGTACGAACTTCCAACCTTTTGGTTCACAGCTGAATGCTTTAACCACTGTACTACCAGAGCTCCTTTGCAGGAACATAGCCTAATAGAAAAAGAAAAGACATTGACCTGTGGTCCAAGACCTGATCGAGAGAAGGTGTCAGGGTGTGAGTAGCAGGATATCAAGAGTCCTGGTGACAGGAATGATTAAGCTAACTGAAACGTTAGTGGTTTGAACCACCCAGCAGCTCTGTGGAAGAAAGACCTAGAAATATCCCATGAAGATTACAGCCAAGGAAACCCTACAGGGCAGTTCTGCTCTCATATGGGTCATTATAAGTTGGAATTGACTTAACACCCAACAACAGTAGCAGCACCAGCAGCAGAAGCAGGATAGCAAAGCACATAGGCTGTGCTCAATGTAGGCTCCTGGGAAAGGGAGAGGAAGACTTTGGACAGGGATGCCACCCTATCCCCTGCTCCCCCAGGCTTGGGGAATCACGTCCTAAGTACTGTAGGGCAAAAGAACGTTTCCTGATAATGCCCTCTTTGCCTCCACAGTGGCCCAGCAGGAGAAGACCCCGCTGCCTAGGCCCAGCCTGCTGGAGGCAGGCAGCGATGGCTGTGAGGAGCCCAAGCAACAGATGTCTTGGGAGCAGGAGTTCCTGGTGGGAAATAGCCCAGGAGGCAGTGGGCGGGCACTGTGCATGGTGTGCGGTGCTGAGATCCGTTGCCCCTCAGCCGACACAGCCCGCACACACATCCTTGAGCAGCATCCCCACACCCTGGACCTGAGTCCATCCGAGAAGAGCAACATCCTGGAGGCCTGGAGTGAGGGGGTGGCCCTTTTGCAAGATGTCCGAGTTGAGCAGCCATCCCCACCTAGCTCAGGTACTTGGGCCTGGGGAGGGGGGTGGAGAACCTGTTGGAGCACTTGGGGCTCACTGGCACTTGCCCCTTCAGACTCAGGCCGGGATGTGGATCCAGACCCAGACCCTGATCTGGACCCTTCCAGGATGCCAGCTGAGATCGTTGTCCTCCTCGACTCTGAGGACAGCACAGCCCTCCCAGCCCTCCCGAGAAGGACCCGGCCCAGGGGACTCCGCCCTCTCGAGCTTCCTGGTCAGTCCTCTGGGAAGCCAGTGTGCCTAAGTGCAGCCCAGGGCGAAGCTCAGGCCTTGTGTTCTGGGGTGGATCAAGGCTACTGGGTACGGGGTTCAGGCATGGTTCAGGTGTAAGGGGTTTTCTTTTTGTAGCTGCCCCTGCCACAGAACCAGCAAGTAAGAAGCCCCGTGGTCAGAGATGGAAGGAGTCCCCTGGTGAAGAGCCTGTCAGAAAGAAAAAAGGCAGATCTATGACCAAAACCCTGGACCCTGACCCAGGTGAAGGGGAGGCCCCCAGGGCAATGGGCCTTGGGCTTTGGCTGAGCCAGGGAGGGGGCCTGGAGCCCAGGCAGAGGGCATCACATCTGGCGGCTCACCTGAGCCCTTGGGCTCAGGCCTTTGGTTCTCACTCAAGTGGGTCTGGGAGGCCCAGACTCCTGACTTCACAGTTCCATCCTGTCCTCCTTCCTAGACCCCCCATCATCACCTGACTCACCCATGGAGACTTTCGCAGCCCCAGCCGAGGTCCGGCACTTCACCGATGGCAGCTTTCCTCCTGGCTTTGTCCTCCAGCTCTTCTCCCACACCCAGCTCAGGGCCTCTGAGAGCAAGGATTTGCCCAAAGAGGGGAACACGGCAAAGGGAGGCCTTGGCCAGCTGGAAAGCCCCTCTCCAGGTGAGCTCTCCTGAGAGGATAATGGGGCAGTCAGGCAGGTCACAACCCCGCTGGACTCTGGCCGCCGCAAGACTGCTCAGCAGAGCCCAGGGTGGAGGGGTGGGTGCTCAGGTCCCTTGGGAGATAGGACCAAGGACAGGGGGACTTGAATGATCAGGAAGACTGGCCAAAGCTGAGCTTTTCTAAGCCTTGGGAATTTCCTGAAATGGGTCGCCTGGCTGGGCTAGGCCAGTTCTTCCCAAAAAACCTGACCCCCGTCTCCATATATGAGATTGATTCTTGCTAGAGCCCAGGGGGGGCCTTCCTCACCCTGGGGGAGCGCGGGCCCAAAGAAGATGGTCAGGGATTCAAACAGTTAGCAGGTGTAGAGAGAACAGACCAGTAAAGAACATGTTTCAACCCCTCCTAGGGGAAACCACTAGGAAATTACTAAGTAATATCAGTAATTGCCTTTGTTTGTGCTATGTTTTAAACTTTTGTATGCAATTCATTTGGTCCTTAGGAAAAAAATTAAAAAAAAAAAAAAATAGGAAGAAAGAAAATTGTTGTGGCAGCAGCCCCATGTATATCAAAGTAGAGCTATGTGCCACAGGTAAATTGCTTGCACACGTACGTATGTACATAGGCACACAGATTGTACTCTAAACCTCAAGTCATGAGACTGCTAGGATGAGGACTCTGCTATCCTGTCTGATCACACACACAATGACATGACACCTTACAAAGTGTTGGCACTTGAATCTGATCGTATTATTCATAGAAGGTAAACAGTAAATGATAGGAAGATTTGAGGTGAATCAGTGTCATCCACCCCAAGTACCCCACTTAACTTCACTGGAGTGGAACCGTCTTATATTTAAAAGGGGACCCAATCACCTTTCCCTAACTCCCTGTGTCCCTTTCTGTGTCACTGGGTCGGCATGCTCTTGATCAGGTGTCCGCTGGTGTGTATCAGAACAGCTGTGTCATCAGCTCAGGTCAGGTGTGTCAGGGCTGTGATTTTTCTCTCTACAGGCCTTCACACTGGTTCTTCCCAGTTCAGTTGTGGACAACCAAGTGAAACTGGAACAAACCCAAATCTGTAAAATGAGTGAACTAGAACAGGAAAAATTACAGATCAACACCTTGCTAGAACCTTAATCTCTCTCTTAGAAAACAAGGGTAGCATGGGTGTTGCATAGCAACCAAGTCTCTTAACATGCAGAGTCAGAACCAGTGGTGTCCGGCTCAAAGATGGCTGCTGCTTTGAATGTGTGTCACTTTGAATATATGTTGCTCTCCCCAGTCTGCATCAGTCTCCTGAAAGGGCTCACTATAGTTGTTCCAAATCTCCCATTCCAGGGCTTCGACCCATCATTTTTCCCGTTCTAGCTATAGTTCTCTTCTCCTAAATTTTTAAAATTTGGGTCTATTTGAATTTTGCTTCATTGGCCATGACTGAACTGATTTGAAGCCCTGTCTCTTCCTTTCTGCACGTGGCTTTTCTTGGCTCTAGGTCTGTCCCTTGCTGGTCCAACTCTCATCCAGCAGCTTCAGGAAACCTGGGCCAGTGCCGGTGTCAGACCAGCATTATGACAGCTCTCAAGGCAAAACTGTTTTACAGCAACTTCTGTAAGGTGTCTGCCCAAACCTCTGAAGGCTGCCTCTCAACCCCCTCAGGACAGGCCTCTTCTCAGCCTTGGAGTTCCAGCTCTCAGCATAGCTGAGGCGTCTGCCATTGCCAAAGGCAGGCCAGTTGTACCCCGATGCTGCCACTTGCTGTGCAAGCCGGACTACAGCCTTTATGGGGCACCCTGCTCCGTCAGTGACCTCTTGAGTGGAGGTGCGCAGCTCCATTCTGTGGGCCGACTGCCCACCACTACCATTGTCTTCTCTGCGGGCCACTCACTCTGCTGCCACCGCTCTGCCTCCAGCGCTCTGCTGCTTGGCTCTGCTGCCGTGTCTCTTGGTCGCCTTCAGTGTTAGCAGCTAAGTGCAGCCTTGATGCAGCACAGAGACCTGGGTCCACAGGATATGCCTGTGCTGAAGCCTGTTGATCGGGAGGGCCCAGCAAAAACCTCTGAGGTCGGCTGCTTATGTCAGGGTAGTCCTCATCAGTGTCAAGTCACAGCGCTTATAAACCCATCAGCCCCTTAGGTAGAGAGTAAACTGACTAATCCTGTTGGATGGATTGCAAGCCACTTAATGGTCAGCAAACCCATGATCCTTCAAACTACATGTGCAGACAGCAAGCCCACGATCCTTTGGCAGATTGTGGCCTGACCAATAATTTTGGGAGAATTACCAACCCAGAAAGGCCACATAAAAGAAACCCAGTGCACCACAATAGGATTTTCAGTGACTCTTTCTTTTTTTTTTTTTCCAAAAATAGGTCAGCAGGCCTTTCTCTGAAGTGCCTCTAGGGAGACTTGAACTTCCAGCCTTCTGGTTAGCACCCGAGAACGTTAATTAGCACCACCCAGAGGCTCCCCTTAGAGAAATATCTTGTAGTAAAAGGGAGAGATGTTCATCTCCTTTCCAGGTGGAAAGGGCAGATTACAAATGGTTTCTCCTTCCCAGTAATTATTGGGTTAGTTTCCTGTCACTGCAGTAACAAATGACCACAAACTCAGGGGCTTCAAACAATAGGAATTTACTATCTCACAGTCCTGGAGGTCACATGTCCGGAATGGGTCTCACTGGACCGAAAGCCAGGTATTGGCAGGGCTTTATTCCTTTCTAGAGGTGCTGGGAGAATCTGTTCCCTGGCCTTTTCCAGTTTCTGCAGGCCATCTGCGTTCCTTGGCTTGTCGCCTCTTTTCATCTTCAAATCCAGCAATAGCTGGTTAAGTCTTCCTCAGGTTGCTGTATGTGGTATCTCTTCTCTCTCCCTCTTCCCATTTAACAACCCTCATGTGTGTGTACATTTTTTCTTTTTAATTGTTATTTGGGTGAGAGTGTACAGAGCAGATTCATTTTCCACATATCAGTTCATACACATTTCATTTCATGACATTATTGCAGTCTGTATAATGTAATGGGAGCTTTGGTAGCATAGTGCCTAAGGCACTTGATTACTAACCAGAAGGCTGATGGTTCAAACCCACCAGCCACTCCTCAGAAGGAAGATGGGGGCAATCTACTTCCATACTGATACTGCTTCGGAAACCCAAGGAGGGGTCGCTATGAGTCAGGTCCAACTCGACGGCACATGACATCAACAACAACATAATGTAATGGCTCTCTTCTCGCTTCTTCTGTTTCGTTACCCTTGTCCTGCGTCCTTTCCTATGCCTTTCTGCCCTCTGAGCCAATACTGCTCTTTTTGATCTCTCATTGTTGATTGTTCTAAGGAATTTACTTACCTGGTATAAATGTTCACCTTATATGCCTGTCTGCTGTTTGACTAGAAGCTACAGGAGTGAGTTCAATTCCAGGCCCAAAGCATGACTAGGGGCCATAGTCTCAGGGCTTTCACCAGTCCCCGCCAAACCGACAAGGCTGCTCTATTTTATGATTTTGAGTTTTGTTCCCATGTTTTCCTCCCACTCTATCCAGAATCTCCTATTTTGATCCCTTTCTGAGTGGTTGACAGTGGTAGCCAGGCACCACCTAATTCTTCTGGTCTTAAGATCGTGTAGGCAGAGGTTCGCATGGTCTACTATGTGTGTGCTTTTATTTACTGTCTTAGTGTCTAGTACTGCTATTACAGAAATACCACAAGTGGATGCCTTTAACACGAAGTTTATTGTACAGTTTAGGAAGCTGGAAATCTGAGTTCAGAGTGCTGGCTGTAGGGGCTGAGTTGAGGCCCCTCAATCTTAGGCTTCAGCTCTGCCTGTCATGAGGCCCACTGGAGCAAGCTGGAGGCTTCTCCTGACTCAAACAGCTGCAGGGACTGACAGACTCAAGATTGGCAAGTAGTATTGCAGGCTGTTGGCTGCAGAGGCTGATGAATCCAACATTGGCAGGTCGGCAGGCCACTGTTCAAGTGCAGGAACTGGAGATGGTGATGCTCTGCTCTGTATGTACTGGAGGCAGGCCACACCCCGAAGGCAGCTGCCTCCCAACTGATGAACTGCTCACAGCAGATCCCACCGTGGGGGTGATTACACCCTGTCCAGTCTTCTCATGGGAAATAACTATATCCAGCTGCCAGGCTGCTCAGAATCTCAGCCCAGGCAAGTTGACACACAACTATCACACTACCAAACAAGAACCAAACTCACTGCCTTGGAGTTAGACCTGACTCATAACGACCCCTCCTTGGGTTTCCAAGGTGGTATCACTATAAAAGTAGAGTGCCCAACCATCCTTCCGAGGAATGGCTGGTGGGTTTGAACCACCAGCCTTCTGGTTAGCAGCCAAATGCCTTAGACACTACACCAGCGGAGCTCCTCCGGAGGCAGGCCTTGCCCCACCGCTTCGATCACAGTTTTAATTGTCTGAGGTTCTGACCTGAGCTACATTTCAGCCCTGCCTCCCTGGGACTGGGCTTTGCTTGGACTTGAGTGTGTCCTGAACCAACTTGTTCTCTTTGTGCATGTCCACTCTAGATGGCTGGCCCTTTTCACTGTTTCATGGGCCTATCGCTTTCATTCTTGGAAAGGTACCTTCCTTTTGAGACTTGAGGTCCCCTGTGCCCCGACTCCACATGTCTGGAGTGGTGAGTAGATGAGCAGTGAGTTTGGAGTGAGTGGGTGAGTCTGGGAGTTCATTGAAGAGGTGAGGGGGTGGAGAAGGCTGCAGCGGCTTCTCAGCGGCTACAGGAGTTAGGGTGTGGAGATGGCCTGGAAAACTCTTTAAGACCAGCAACGGTGTTCCCTCAGGAAATAATGTGAGGAAGGCAGCCCTTGTCCCTCACTGTCTGCTTCATGGAGAGGTCTGAGGCAGTAGAGCAGGAGGGTAGTGAGGCCCCAACGGTGATTCTGAGGTAGAGCACCAGCTGCAGGCCAGTGAGTTCAGTCTGTTCCAAGAACCTAGTGTTTGAACAAGTTTCTTGGAAGCCTTTGAAGCTTCAACCAGAAAGCCCCTAGTCTGAGTTGCTTTATGTGTTGAAGTTTCAAGAGGATTTTACGTGAATAAAAAAAAGTTTTTAATAAAAATTACGGATTTAGGAAATGGAAAAGGTCACTGTGGTCAGGTCAGCCGAGCTGATGGATGTGAGAGTGAGGCAGTTGGAGAAGACTTTCTAGAACTTTCTATGGGCCTTGCAGGGTGAGAATTGGGAGGGTATTTGGGCCAGGAGAGGTGAGCCCTAAAGGCTCACTTACACATGATAGGAAAAAGAATGTCTCTGTTTCACTGGTGTTTAATTTGCGTAGAACTTAGCTCTGGTGTGGGTCCCTTGACGAGACCCAGTGTGTTTCTAGGCTGGATTGAAGAGAGAGAGGTTGTGTGTGTGTGAGAGAGAGAGAGTGAGTTGTTGTTAAATGCCATCAAGTTGTCTCCAACTCATAGCAACCCCACGCACAGCAGAATGAAACACCGCCCAGTCCTGAGCCAGCTCCACGATTCTTGCTACACTTGAGCCCATTGCCACTGCCACCGTATCAATCCACCTTGAGGGCCTTCCCCTCTTTTGTTGACTCCACCTTACCAAGTATGACATCCTTCTCCAGGGAGCGGTCCCTTCTGACAACATGACCAAAGTATGTGAGACGCAGTCTGGCCGTTCTCACCTCCAGGGAGCACTTTCTCCAGGGCAGACCTGTTAGTTCTTTTAACAGCCCACGGTACTTTCAGCATTCTTCACCAACACCACAGCTCAAAAGCATCAACTCTTCTTCAGTCTTTCTTATTCATTGTCTAGCTCTCACACACATATGAGGTGATTGAAAAAGTACCATGGCTTGTGTCAGACGCACCTTAGTCCTCAAGTAGACATCTTTGCTCTTCAGCACTTGAAAGAGGTCCTTTGCAGCTGATTTGCCCAGTGCTATACATTGTCTGATGTCCTGACTGCTGCTTCCATTGGCATCGATTGTAGAACCAAGCAATGTGAAGTCTTTGACAATTTCAATCTTCTCTCTATTTATCATAATGCTGCTTATAGGTCCAGTTGTGAGGATTTTTGTTTTCTTTATATTGAGATGTAATCCATACTGCAGACTGTATTGTTCAGTCTTCATCAGTAAGTACTGCAAGTCATCCTCACTTTCAGCAAGCAAAGGTGTGTTGTAAGTGTATCCCAGGTTGTTAATGATTCTTCCTCCAATCCTGATGCCACATTCTTATTCATATAGTCCAGCTTCTCGGATTATTCGTTCAGCATACAGATTGAATAAGTATGGGGAAAGGATACAACCCTGACGCACTCCCTTCTTGATTTTAAACCATACAGTGTTCCCTTTTCCTGTTGAATGACAACCTCCTGGTCTGTGTACAGGTTCCTCATGAGTACAATTAAGTATGTGTGAGAGAGATACAAACATACTTCACCAAGGGCACTCAGTCCATTCTGCTCACTGGTGTACGCACAGCACCTAGAACAGTTCCTGGCATAAAGCCAGCCTTCCATAAACATTTATTGGAAAGTTGGGTGGATGATGGCTGCCTTCGTTTGTCATTTTGATGGTGACATTCCCAAATCTCTGCTCAGAGATGGGCCTCAGAGGAGGAGATAGGAAGCTGGGGTGGGGACAAGAGGGAAGGGGAGGGTGCTGGAAGGCTCAGCTGGTCCTGGTGACAGATAAACCCCCTGGAGCCTTTTCCTGGCCCTAGGGCTCTGATTGGACACGATTTTAGAAAGGAGATCTCTTGTATCTCTGTCTCGGGCTCATGACCCGCCCACCACCACCCTCACCTCCCTCTACCCTCTGCTCCCAGAAAGAATTGGCCCCTGAGTGAAAAGAAGAGGAAGCCGTCTTGGGGAGCTTACCTGTGCTTGTCCACCTGCTTCTGGCCTCCAACATCCAGGCCGAATTCTCTTCCTTCTCTCCTGCTCCTGTCACTGAACTCTGGGCAGAGGCCAGCCCTCTGCCCACTCTGGGCCCATCCCTCTTCTCCAAGAGCACCACACAGCTGTTCACTGTCTTGCGCCATCCATTTTCTCCTCTCTGCTGGCTCTTTCCCATCAGCCCCCGCATAGCTGCTCTGTCTGCCTTCCAGACCACTCACCCTCTCCAGCCACTGTTTACTTACCCCCTAACCATTCTCAGCAGTGCAGGAAAGCGTTTTCTGTACTAACTTCCTCTGACTTATTTTGGAACCCACTTAGTCCTTGCCACCCCACACTGGAATTGCTTTTGGCAAGGTGAGCGGTGGTCAGCCCCCAGTCATCTTTCTTGGTCTGGTCCTAGTGGACCAGGCTCACCGCTTCCCGGAGGCACTGCCCTTGGCCTCTCTGGTTCCTCCTTGCTGGGTTGGGCTCTTCCTGGGCTCTTCCTGTTCACGTTGTCCTGTGTGTTCATACTCAGCTGTGTTAGTTGGAAGTGCGTCTCACTGTCTGCCTGCCGTTTTCTGAAACATGAACTCCCTCAGGTCGGGACGGTAGACTGTTCAATCTGCTGTTATTGCCAGCACCCAGCACAGTGCCTGGTCCAGTATCATACTTGGCGAATGAGTGGAGAGTCCCGCAGCCGTGGCCAGGGGCTGTACACACGCCCTGGATGGGGATCTGGATCTCAGTGTGCTCACAACCCCCTTTAGTTCTCCACCTGGACTAAAGTCCCAGCCCCGATGCCCTGTAGGTTTTAGATGAAATGAGCCGGCTGAAGGTAGGGGGAGAGGAAGCGAGCGCTGCTCTGAGGATCCGTGGGCCCTGATGAAGGGACGGTGCCTGGGGCTCGGCTCTGCAGAAGGAGCTTTGAGCCTTCTCTCTGGTTGGTGTGGTCCTTGGACAGCAGAGGGGTACCTCTTGCTGTCCTTGGGCTGCCCCTTGAGGTGGGTGCAGTTTGCACAGGCTCTTGGGCAGCATCCTCATGGTGGGATCCAGGGGCCCTGACTGCCCTCTCCCCCACCTCTGCCCAGCTCCACCTCCGGGGCTCCGTGGGACGCTGGACCTGCAGGTTATCCGCGTGCGGATGGAGGAACCACCAGCCGTCAGCTTCCTGCAGGACTGGTCCAAGCACCCCCCCGGCACCAAGGGTGTGGGAGCAGGTGACACCCGGAATTGGCCGGCAGTCCTGTCAGAATCCAGCACCCCTGTCGGGGGGGAGCCTGAGGCAGGGAGTGGTGTGTAAGTGTTGGCTTTCCTGGGGAGGGAGGAAGGGAGGAAGCAGCGTCCCCCTTTGGATTAAACTCGGGGCTGCCCCGCTTGGCTGCCTGGTGCAGAGAGTGAAACGGGTGCCAGGGAGGGATGGCGGAAGATGGGGCAGTGTCCATTGCTCCTCAAGGTGCTGGAGAGGTCTGTCCTGACAAGGCCTTAGGTGGATGACGGGGGCAGGCGCAGCAGTGGGGCATTGGGCCTCTGGAGAACACCCACCCAGTCCTTTCGCTAATTCAGACCCCTCTGTGTCCCCCTCAGCACCCCTCCCAGCTTCACACCATTCTCCCTTGGCACAGTGCCTTACACAAGAGGTGGTCACGGGGTTTGAACTGGGTCCCACTACCTCGCAGGACGCCTCTCCTCCCCACCTGCGTAGGCTCCTCAACCAGGAGGCCTCTGTTACCTCTTCCCACCCTACCCCTGCAGGAGGTGAAGTGGCCCACCTGGGCTGAACCCACTCCCCTTTGTCCTCTCACCCACCCTTCGTTGTATATATATATATCTCCTTTGTTGACAATAAATTATTTTTTTTTTTATTAAGAGAGTTTGGTCTGGGCCATCATTGGGGCAAGGAGTTGGCTAGCAGGATCTGTCTTCCTAGAGGACCCTTGAGGGGCTGGAGGAGCAGAAAGCCACCCCTCTAGAGGGTGGAGCAGGGCTGGTGGCCTGAGGCTGACTGAGTGTCAGAGGTGGAGGAGCTTAGCCCTGCTGGCAGATGGGGGAGAAACACCCTTTTCTTTCACGGGGCCTACCTGTGATTGACCTGGTGAGCCTCTCTGTCCAGGAGAAGCCACTATGGGCTATTCACTGCCACGGAGCCAAGTGAAACATTTGGGGCCAGCCTACAGGTGGGGACATGCCTCTCCCTCCCACCCCATGATGGGGAGGTGTCTCAGGGTCCTAGAGTTGGTCCTGCCTTCCCCAGCCTCCCAGCTGTGCCCACTCACCTGCACAACTTCATCTCTTCTTGGCTCGCTTCTGCCCAGGTCTTCACCTGACTCCCCGTGACAAACCATGAGATGGCCCACTTGGGTTTCCTCACTACCCTCCTGCGCTAATTCATCACAGGTGACATCTGTGTAGGGCTTTCCCCCCTTTGGTAATAATGGACAGGATCCCTGGTGGCACGGTAGTTAAAGCACTCAGCTGCTAACTGAAAGGTGTTTCAGACCCACCAGCAGCTCTTCAGGAGAAAGGTGAGGCAGTCTGCTTATGTAGATTACAGCCTTGGACTAGGGGTCAGTTCTCTGTCACTATGAGTCGAATTGCCTTGATGGCAGCGGATTTGGATTTGGTGATAATGAAGCTCTGAAGAGGGATCTAGGGAGCTCTCCTTGTGGACCCCAAACTCTGCTGTCCCGTTTAGAACCCAGGGGTAGGTGTAAGAACAGGGCTGTGTGTCCTTCGCACCTGGGCTGCTGTACTGCACCAAACAGTGTGCACAGGGGGACAGGGTGCCAGGCAGGACTTGGAGGGCAGAATCTGCCCTCCACGCAGCAGTGACTCAGCCAGCTGTTTGAGACAGCCGAATGTGGAAAGGCATTCAGCTGCTAAAAGGCTGGCGGTTCAAAGCCTCCAGCTGCTTCCCTAAAGATTTGCAGTCTTGGAAGCCCTACGGGGGTCACTACGACTTGGAATCCACTCAGTGGGGCCAGTTTTTCGTTTGGCCCCTGAGTGTAGTTCGCTACAGAGGTTGGCTACCATGATGGCTGGGTGGTGTGATAGCTCCATGGCCTCAGTGCCCCATTCTGGCCGGTGGGAGTCGGCCCAGCCTTGGCCGGGACCCTAGGGATCGTCTGAGCCTGTGGTCTGCAGCTGCCTGTGGGAGGGGCCGCTGGGTTCCAGGGAGCGGTAAGGGGGCGGGGCCATGGACGAGACTCTAGACTGGTAAGTTTCCTAATTCTCTGCCGGCGGCAGTGGCAAGCCTCAAAGCCCCAGGCCTGCTCTGCAGGCCACACCAGCGAAGCTCTCCCATCAACGTGTGGGACCCGGGGCTGGCGGGGGAGCCTTCTCCAGGTTGGTACCGAGGCCCAGCCACAACCGGCCCTGCGAATACACCTTTCCTGTCTGACGCAGGCCCCCTTCCATCCCTCTCAACGCCGTTCCTAGGAGTGGTATGGCGAGATCTTTTCGGACACTGGTAATAAGCTCTCTCTTGGCAAAAAGAGTCCGAGCAAGAGAAGAAGCTGCCCGTTCCGTCACGGAACAGACACGAACAAGAAGGGGTGCTGGGATGTGGCTGGGAACGGGGTACTCTGGCTGGGCCCCTTGGCGGCACTCCACCTACGACACTGGTCTGGTCCCGGCTCGAATCCCCTTTTCCTCTGCCTAAAATGTGTAAGCACACTCCTCCGGGCTGCTACTTCAGGGCCCTCAAATGAAAAGGAACGCGCACACTGAGTGTGGGGGGCTGAGAATGTGTAAGCGGCTCCGACAGGCTTTCAGCCTCTGTGCTGCCCCCAACTGGTGTCTATAGCAAGGGGACACCCTGCTGGCCGCCAGGTAGGCCTGAGCGGGGAAGGGGGGGCTGCTGGCAGGTGAGGTGAGGCTAACCTGGGAGAGGCCTCAGCATGGAACCTTCTCACTCCTGAACCTGGCCAGTCCCTTTCTCCTGGGCTGTCATCTCCTTCTAGCACCCTTGTCTGGATTATTCTAAGGCAAATCCCAGACATGATATCATTTTGTCTGTAAATACTTGTTTTTCCAAGAGATTTGGCCTCCTTTGAATAAAACATTATTTTCACACTCAAAATTAATATTAATTCCTTAATATCATCTACCAGCCGGTGTTCACATTCCCAGTGGGTCCATGAATTGTTTTACAGTGGGTTGGTCCATACAATACACTGCATTTGGTTGATATGTTTCCTTCAGAAATACATTGTGCTGAAAATATATATACATAACAGAACATACACCATACACCATCTCAACAATTTGTACATGGGCCGTTCAGTAACAATGGCTACATTCTTGCTATCCTTTTCCAAATCATCTCATCACCATTAATAGAGTCCGTGTCCTAGTGTCCTGTTTTGGTTACTTAGTGCCACTCTAAGAGAAATAGCACAGGTGGAATGGCTTTAACAAACAGGAGTTTATTCTCTTACAGTTTTGGAGGCAAGAAGTTCGAGTTCAAAGTGCCGAACTCTAGGGGCTGGGTGAAAGCCCATTGGCCTTGGGCTTCAGCTCTGCCTCCTGCTCCCGGCCCACTGAAGATAGAGGCTTTCTTCACTCAGGCAGCTACTGGCTGCTCAGGCTGACAAACCCAAGGTCGACAAGTAAAAAGGCACAGGCCTGCTATTACCAAACCACATGGCAGGCCATTGGTTCAAGTCCATCAAGAGTCCCAAGGTTGGCAGACAACATGGCAGGCTGCTGAACAGCAACTCGGCTACACCCGGGACTCAAGCATGCCAAAAGCTTCAGACATGCCTAAACCTTCTCTGTATATACTAGGAGCAGACCACCTCCCTAAGGCAGCTACTCAGCTGCTCACAGTAGATTCCACCATGGAGTTGATTACCAGTCTCATCACGGGGAATCACTACATCCAGCTGCCCAGCCGAGTTGACACAAAACCTTAACTACCACACCCCCTAAGCAAAGACCCCATTTCCCCCTCCCTCTCGCCCCTGGTCACCACTAATCATCTTTACTTTTGGTATATTTGCATATTTCATGTAAGTGGAATCATACAGTACTGGTCCTTTTATGACTGATTTCACTCAACATGATGTTTTCAACGTCTGTGTATTTTTTTTTTTTTTTT